GATTCTGGTCTCATCGGCTCCCCGTCTCCTCCTCCTCCTCCTCCTCCTCCTCCTCCTCCTCCTCCTCCTCCTCAAGGCTCCCGTCTCAAGGCCCCCGAGAGGCGCCGAAGCCGCCCCCGGCCGGGCGCGGAGAAGCCGCGGCACGCCTCGGGGCGGCCGCCCTGCTCGCCGACGTGCCGGCCTCGCGCGCGCGCGAGGGCGGGCCGGCCACGGCCCCTGCCATCGCTCGAACTTCCATGTCCTGTGCGTTTTTTTTTTTTTTTTTTTTTTTTTTTTTTTTTTTTTTTTTTTTTTTTTTTTTTTTTTTTTTTTTTTTTTTTTTTTTTGTTGTTTTTTCTTTTTTACGCATATTTAACTATTAATGTATGTATATATACACACATATATATATACATACATACATATACACTGCTTCCCAATAAAGGATGTAATAAACGAACGTACAACACAGCATCTGTCATTCAAGAAACTGCGAGTGATCCAAGGTGCTCCAAGATGGTCCTGCCTTTCTTGCGCTGGCCTCGCCGAAAGACATGCACACGTCCAAGCGATGCCAACAGCCCCCAGTCTGAGGGCCAACGAAGACGCCCGAGGACGTCCGAGGCTCCAGGAACCTGCAACAGCCTTGCGAGTCTGAGCCCTGGCGAGTCTGGGTCCTCGACAGCGAGTGTCGAAGACGTTCTCCATGGCGAATCTGGATCCTGAGGGGGAACGTTTGGGGGGACGGAAACATTGAGCTCGAATCGGCGATACAAAGCCGGGCTGCGCTCGAGACCAGCGCAGTAGGGCAAGGGAGTGGAACTGCTCTCGGGACATACTCGCCCAGCCACCTCCTCAGATCGAGAGGCCGCCCTCATGTCACAAACGCTCGCGTGAGGCGCTCCCTCGAAACACGTGTGAACTCATGTGCGCGTACGCCTTCTGATGCTGCCACGTCAGAGGGCGCGCGCGCGACCGACGTCGAATCCAGATCAGACCTGCCGGGCAGTGGCGACAAGGTGCCCAACGTGTCTTTCCTGCCTCTTCCTTTTCCTCCTCTTTGAGAAGGTCTGGCTTTCTGGTGACAACTCGGGTCTCCAGCGGCCATTCGGGAGGATCTTGGCGCCCGATGGACGCTCTCGGCGAGGCGCAACTGCTGGAGATCGTTAGGAGGCCAGAAAACCTCTGGGAACCGATGAACACTTCTGAACACCCCCGGTCGTGCTCCACCTCCTCCTTCTCCTCCTTGCGCCGAAGGGCTCGCTTCTCATCCTCCTCCACCTTAAGTCGAAGCCAGGACGAGGATAAGATCGTGTGAGGGTAAATCGAGAACCTCTGAGGTCCGGCGGATCTGCAAAATGTCGTGGGCGCCGCGGCCTTCTCAGAGCGTTCCGGAACGCTCTGAGAGCGTCCTGGAACGCTCTGGAACGGAAATAAATCCTCGTCCTGACCCCGTCCGATTTCCTCTTCGCCGAAAGCCCAGACCCCCGACTACAGGATTTTTTAACTGATGTCGACCCCCAAAGGTCTGGACCCATTCCCCGGGACCAGTTTTTCATCCCGAGTCGCTTTTTGACGGTCCCCAGGCGGCCCAGTAGGGGCCCCCAGAGGCCGAACATAGCGAAACGCCTCCCGTCGCGATTCTTTCGTGGCCCGAGGGGGTCCGAGTCCGACCTCCTCACTCGCCGAGAGGACCGCTCCCTCGCGCCTGGCCGTCCGAGCGCAGCCCCGCGGCCGTCCCAGACCGCCCCCGCCGCTGGGCGCGCGGGCGCGCCGCGCCGCCCGCCCCGCCAACGCTCGCGCACGGTGCCCGGCGCGCGCGGTCTCCCGGGGCCGTCGCCGGCACGTGCCTTAGGTCGGGCATGTCCTCCTGCAGGCGGATCCTCGGAGAAATCGCAGCCAAACATTTGAGGACTGCAGTGCTGGGAAACTCGTCCCCAGACACTTTTTCTTTGTGTTACTGTTTTGGGATCTGCCTCCTGCATAGGGCACGCCCGTCTCAACACTTGCCGCGTGACGCGGCAGCCGCGCTCGGCGCGCGAACCCTCCGGGAGGAGAGGCACGCCGAGCTTCGCAGCCCCGCTACGCAGGACGCGACACGCAGCGTGTGGATATGGAGCTCAACACGTAGACTGACAACGTAAGGCCTGACGCGACACGTTCGCCAAAACGTGGCCCAACGCGTGCCGAGCCAACACGCAGCGCGTTGACACGGGCGTTTCGAACACGGCACGTGTTGCGTTTGAAGCCGGGCGTGTCGAGGCAGCTAATGGCCGCGCTCGGCGCGCTCCTCCTCCAGGAGAAGCACGCCGAGTGCGGCTACCGAGGAGACGCGCAGCGGGTGGAGAAGGGCGAGGGGCCCTCCTCCAAGACGAAGCCAGGACGAAGATCACATCTGGTAGAGATAAAGCGAGAAACTCTGAGATCCGGCGGCTCTGCAGCATGCATGTCTCGGGCGCCGCAACCTTCTTCTCAGAGCGTTCCGGAACGCTCTGAGAGCGGCGTTCTGGGACGCTCTGGACCGGAGTTATCCTCGTCCCGGCCCCGTTCGAGTGGAGCTACCCTGAGATCCGACGCTGCAAAAAAAAGATGCAGCATCGCAACAAAATCACGACCGGCCCCCGGACCCCATCTTCCTGCTTTATTTCTGGAACCCGATCGATCCGTGAGGGTCCCGGGCCCGACATGGAGCGAAAACGCCCGGCTCGAAAAAATTGCGTCGCCAGGATCTCAGGGAAGGGGGAGGGGTCCTCCTCCCCCTCCGCCCTCTGCACTCTACCTTCCATGCCGGAGGGGCCTGAGGCGACCCAGAGAGCCTCCCAGACCATCTTGTCGGCTCTTGCGAATCGACGCTAAATCGACGCTAGTCGACGCTAGATCGACGCTAAATCAACGCTAGTCGACGCTACGCCGGCGCTACCTCATCGACTCCCAGACGCCAATCAACGCTAAAGACGGAATTGAGCGGGTGTACTAGGCTCCCATGATCTGCTACCGAAGAACCTTGGAGCCTTTCCCCAGTGCGAGGTTGTCCTCCCGAGTCGTTTTCTGACGGTCCTGGGGCCCGTGGAGGGCCCCGAGAGCCGGAGAACGGCGAAACACCTCGGGACCAGTTTCTCTCAAGACCCACTTCCCCTATGGCGGAATAGACCGGGGGGATCGGGTTAGGTAGGGCGTGCCCCCCTACAGGCGGATTTTGGACGAAAAATTAGAAATAGTCTAAGAATCTACAAATATGATTCACATATAATCAAAACATAGTTTCAATTTGTTTGTAATTATTTTTGAATATTCCTCCTGTAGAGGGACAGGATCGACTTAAGAAAGGTGCGACTTTCGTGCACCTCCTGGGCACCATGGGGGCCCTTTGAGGGCCCCTGTCCTGTAACCCTCGATGGCCCCCCGCCCCCCCGCAGGTATCGACCCCCCCCACCCCCCTTGCGGGACGCCCGAAGCCCCTTTGCCGCACGTCGTGTAAGACGAAGCCAGGGCGAGGATGAAATCGAGTGGTCTCGGGCGCCGCGGCCTTCTCAGAGCGCTCTGCAACGCTCCGAGAGCGCTCCGGGACGCTCAGGAACGGATTTTACCTCCTCGTCCTGGCCCCGTCTGGCTCGTGCCTCTCCCAGCTGGTTGGCCTCCAATGGGGACAGGGGCGGCGGGCCGGACGGGCGGAGGACGTCTGTTGGGCGTCGTCGTGACGCCTGCCGTCGACCCCCTGCGGCGACGGGCGGGGGCCGAGAGGAGGGGGCGGGGAGGGGCAGGTCGAGAGCGCCGCACCAGTCTGGTCGTTGCCGGCGGTCATCGGCCCGCGCCTGAAGACCGAGACGCGCCTCGCTTCCATCCGCTCCTCTCCTCTCCTCCGTGTGTGGGCGTCGCTTCATGTGGGGGGCGATGCATTGTGAAGGGAAGGAAGGTGCACTTCGCGGGCCCGAGAGGCCACCTTCAGGGCCCCCCCAAAGGCCCCTGGAAGGGTCCCGAGGGGCCGCTTTTCTGCAGCCCTCGCTGCGCCCCATTTATGGTCGCCCCCCCACAGCGCGACGCCTAACCGTGGTGGCCGCCGCCGTTGCCGCATCGACGAGCCCACCGCCAGTTTTCAAGGATGAAGAGAGAGAGAGAGAGAGAGAGAGAGATGGGCGCTCCTTGTCGCAGGTCATCGTGAGAGGCATGTAGGTGACCTGGGGGCCGGGCACGCGCTGCGGTCGCACGCACGACAAGATGAATGGCAGCCCACGGCGACCAAGGTCTCCGAGAACGAAAAATGCACCGCATGGCCGTCGAGCCAGGGAACACCGAACAAAGTAGCCGCGAATAAGTCAGAACATGTGTATATATACATATATATAATGACGCCTCCACCGCATGCCAAGGGAACACGGCAGCACGACGAGACGAGAATGACACTCGCGAGTGAACGAGGCCCTCCCCTTTCCTGATCGATTCTCTCGTTCTCGTTCCCTCTCCCCTTTCTCTGTAGATGTGTTTGGACGTGCCTCGGCAAGTACATGTATACGTATCTAAGAGTACATGGACATACATGTGCCGTGTTAACTCAAGCACGTATGCATGGAGATGCATGCATATGCATGCATATGCATACTCTCTCTCTCTCTCTCTCTCTCTCTTGCCGCCCTCATATGTTAGCCCTCCTCCTTCCTTCCCCCCTTCCTTCCTTCCCTCCTTTCTTCCTCCCTCCCTCCGTCCCTTCCTCTCCTCCTTCCTTGCCCCGTCATCGCCCACCCGCCCCTCACACCTCGCCCCGGCGCCTCCGTTCGCCTCCCGCCTCCCGCCTCCGGCCCCGCCCCTCGCCCCTCCCGCACACGTCGCTCCTTTCTAGTCGTGCTCGTTTCTAACTGTGCTCGCTTCTAGTTGTGCTCCTGGCCCCCTGGCGGCCAGGACGAGGCCCAGGACAGAACGATTAGAGATGGAAAGATCTCGCCCCCCCCCCCCCCCCAAAAAACAAAATCGAAAAACTTTCGAAAACTTAGGAATGAACAACGTGTATACCTCCCCCGGCGCTGCTTTTCCGGCACCTCTGCCGCGCCCTCCAGCGGTCTGCCGCGGCGCCGCCCGGCCCTGCGAGGCCCGCGGGCCTGGCCCGCGGGGCAGCCACTGCTGGCGGCGCGCCGCAGGGGGGTGCAGTCGGCCCGGATTGGACAGGACTCGCGGGAGGGCACGAGACCCTTCCGAGGGCCACATGGCCATGGGGGATGTGGGAGGCAAGGGTCGCGAGGCACAGGGCACAGGGGTACATACCCAAGGGTACCCTTGATTCGGCAGGGTCGGCCTGCTGATCAGGGCCGCCTGCAGGGGGAGGGGGGAGGCTTCTCAGACGGGGGCTGCTTCTTAGAGGGCGCGGGCCTTGTCTGCAGATTCAAGGCCCGCGGCTTCTGAGAAGCAGGGGTGCTTCTGAGAAGCCTTCCCCCCTCCCCCTGCACCCCTCTGTGCGCCGCCAACAAGCACTGGCAGACGCATCAATCTTCGCAGGTCCGCGCGGACGTCTTGGACCAGCGCTGGACCTAGAGGCCTCCTAGATGGTGTCCGAGTAGAGAGAGTCGGAGGATCGCACCGCATCGCCAATGCATCGCCGATGCATCGGCGATGCATCGGCGACATCTGCGTGGGGAAGCACGGGCTCCACGTCGAGCCGCATCGTCCATGCATCGGCCACGCGGCGCGACCCTCCGACCCCCATCTGCTCGGACCCCGCCCGGGAGGTCAGAGGACCCCCCTCCCTGGCGCAGGGAGCGCGCCGATGGGCGGCGTCGGAGGCGGCGCCGCCCGCGCCGATGCGAGATGCGAGATGCGAGAAATCTGCGCGGCCCTCCGACAGTTTATACAGTCGGGGCGTTGACCTAAGGAACCCTAAATAAGGAACGAGGCCCCTTTTTCCATAAGTTAAACTTCGACTTCCCATCGAAAGCATAAGGAAAACATGAGGCAAGCTGTGAAACAATCAAGGAACACCGAGCCCCTCCCCAACGAAAAGGGTTCCTTCTTCAGGGCCCCGACTGTAATGCGCGTGCAGCGTTGCGCCCCCGCCGGGCCGCCGCGGCACCCCGCGCCCGCCGCGCGGCCCCAGGCCCCCGTGCCCTGCGCCCGAGGGGGAGGAGCGGGCACGAGGCCCCGCGCGGCCTCGGCAGACGTGGCCGAGTGCAGTCAAGAAGTGGCCACTCAGAGGTCATTAAAGATAGATATTACTATATTGATCTTGCTATTAATATTATCAAATTAAGATTGACAGTGTTTATTCTTACTTACTACTCATTTCTGATAGTTAGTAATAATGATGATCTCAATTCTATTAATTAAATCAGTTTTTTTGAAGATTTATCAATTATTACTGATCTGTTTATTATTATTATTATTATCCAACAGTGGTTCTCAATCTTTCCCCCCCTCTTGCACGCTGGCCACTTCGCTTCTGGGTGCCCCCTTTGTAGCTCTGGCGCTGGTGCAGCCAACTCCACCTCGCCGCCGACGGAGCACTTTTTCTCAACACGGGGTCCCCGGAAGTCTCGACCCGTTCCCCCAAAACCGGTTTTTCATCCCGGGTCGTTTTTTGACGGCCCCGGGGCCCGGCGAGGGTCCCTAGAGGACGAAAGCTGAAAAAAACCTGCCCTTCTTGACTGTTTCAATGCGTTGAACCTCTGGAAATGAGGACCACTTTGGGCTCAGGAGGGGCTCTTGCTGTCGCGCCGCTCCTGAGGCCCAAGTCGGGGAACCCCTTCGTGGCCGAGGCCTGCCGAGGCCAGACAACTCCCTCGATCCTGGGGTGAGGGCTCCTTCTGGTCGCACGCTGGCTGTACCCATTCGGACTTCAGAAGAATTGTTTGACGAAGCTAAGACGCGGATGACATCGGGTACGGATAAATCGAGAATATCTGAGATCCGGCGGATCTGGGGGATGTCTCGGGCGCCGCGGCCTTCTCAGAGCGTTCCAGAACGTTCCAAAGCGTTCCGGAACGTTCTGGAACGGATTTATCCTCCTCCTAGCCCCGTTCGAGAGATGGACCTAGACATCCAGACGTACCCAGGCGACGCAAAACAACAAATCGTGACAGCTGGCTTGGGAACGTTTGCGGCCTCTGGAGGCCGTTGCCATACCCCGAGAGCGTCACCTGTGCTGCGATACAGATGCCCCGTCCGAAGTTGGGCCCACCTGGTGTGAGCTCACCTGGCAAATGGCGAGTTCACCCCAGGCTAACTTCAAATGGTGGCCGGCTCACTCAGACAACACTCGCTTGGGCTACGGTGGCTCTAACCATTGCCTCATCTTGTCCACGCTCGCTCGATTCATTTTCACCAGATGATGCAATGGTTCACCTGATAGAGATCCAGGCCCACCAGATGATACAGAGCGTGGACCAGATCGCGGTATCACCATTCAGACCACAAATCTAGGCCCACCAGATGATAAATCTGGTGACGCGTTTGAACATGTGATCTGAGCCAGATGATACAATTTAACTTTGTCGCCAGAGCATGCTCACATGTTCAAACATTCACCTGATTGAGATCCACCGTCGAATGATCCTGCGCACCCTCCCTCTGGTTCAAGCGACGCGCTTCGCGCGCGCTACACACTCGTATACGCCTGACAATTTTTCGGGTGGTATTTCATTGCTTTGGAAGACCCGCAACATCCCCAATAGGCCTTCCAAATATCGGGGGGAACGAAAGGGGGGGGATAGCAAAGGGCCGGGTAGAGAATCAGCTCACGTAGCTGATTTTCCCAGCGCCTCCAGGCGTCTGGAGGCGCCCATGTATCGAGGAATGGGCCCGGCGGCGGGGCCGAAACCGGCTGCATGCAGCAGATGTCGTGACCCCCCTTTCCCTATCCTTCCTTTTCGTTCGGCCCGAAAAGAGGCCGCGCACAACCAAACAGACTCTCCAGGCAGGCTATTGGCGGCTCACCTGGAGCCCGAATCATTCCCTTGGGGTGCAATCCGCCACCGTGCCTGCACGGAGTGGGCGTGTTATAATTTTGTTTCCACTGTCTGGTGAAGCGTTTTAAATGTTTTCTAGGGCCGACCCCTCTCGTCGCACGCATCGTTCGACAATTGCTCCCCCTGAATTCGCTCTCTGGCCTTCTCTTCGGCCTCCAGACGGCAAGGATGGCCTCCAAGACGGCTTCCAAGACAACCAAGATGACACCAACCAAGACGGCCCAAGATGACCCAAGACTACTCAAGAGGCTTCCAAGACGGCCTCAAGGCACCCCTAAGTGGCCTCCAAATGCCCAAGAGGTCTCCAAGAGGTCTCCAAGAGGCCCTCCAGGCAAGCCCACATTGATTCTTTGTAGGTGCTTGAAGGGTTTGAGGTTCTAGCCTGTTTGGGTTTGCGACCGCCCAAGGTGACCCAAGAGGCCTCCACGAGAACTCCAAGACAGCCCAAGAGGCCACCAAGAGGGCACCAACGTGGCCCAAGAGGCTCCCAAGAGGTCCCCAAGAGGCTCCTAAGAGGCCGCCAAGAGGTCTTCGAGCGGCCCCCAAGATGCCCCAAGAGATCCCCAAGAGGCATCCAAGACGTTCCACGATGCCTCCAAGAGACCCCACAGGTTCACCAGACCCCAAGAGCCGCCAGGAGGCCCCCAAGACACCCCAAGAGGCCTCAAAAAGAAACCCAAGAGACATTCCCAAAGACTCTGAGAGGCACCCAAGAAGCCTCTGGCCTATTGAGGCCCCCCGACCTCTCCAAACGATGCCACGCTCCCCCGATAAAAGGCAACTCCCTTGGGCGCTGTTCCTGGCTGGGCTGGTGGGGATGTGCGAAACGTGAAGAGTTCAAACTACTTCCTGCTCCGCTGTTGCACTGGCACGGTGCGGGGTTTGCCGCAAACAACTGGATATTGTGCTGTGGCATGCTTTTTGGGGCACCCGAGTTGTCCAGGATGGACCTGGTCCGGGTATGGCCCTGTTAGGGGTCCCCAAATGTGAGATGGGAAAACCTTGGGACCGCTTGGTCTGGGATAGCTACTGTTTTAAAAGAATACTCGACACCATCTTCATGGGACAAAATGTGATCCGGGATAAGTCGGGTTGATCCAGTGTGTTCGAGGGCCGCCTCAAGCGACCTCAAGATGGCGTAAGACCGTCCCGAAACAGCTCCCAGACTGCCCAGACCGGCCACTGGGTGGCACCGAAAGGAGCTTCCTTCCCGTGCAAAATCACTCCCAAACCCATCATATATCAGGGAACACTAAACCGGGTAACGCCTAAACGGGGTGACAGACCCACCATGGGATCCAGGTGGAAAAACTGCAACAACCAGAACAACAAACATGCACTGCTTTATTTCTGCAACGCAAGAAAAAACACAGCACTGCAATTTGTCGGCAACTACTGAAGGAACAACTGCAAACAAGCCCCACAGACCGGGTAACAGAGGGCCCAAAACAAACAGTTGCAGTGCAGCTGCCGAAAAATGCAACGCAGCCAACATGTGGAAGGTGCTGCATCGAACGCGAAAACAAAACAAAAACTGCACTGCAACAAATGGGCCATTTGATGCCTCGAACCGGCCGTTCCCTGTTACCCCGTCTCTGGCTCCCTGAATAGATCCCACTGGGACGCCTCCGGGACTCCTCGGGGACCCCTCGAGGCCCTCCAGGGCCAGTGCGGGAATGTTTTGACGCTCTTGTCACAACAACATGCGCTAGGCCTGATGATTCTAGAGCCTTTCGGACATGTTGATTATCGGCTGCGCTCTGAAATTGGAGACCGACGTGGGCTCCAAACGGAAGCTCGCTGCACGTGTCTAATCTGCGTATCTATTATACACGCAAGTCTGTATGTATATATGTAATATCTAAGTATACACGCAAATATGTGTGTATGTATATACGTTAATATATGCCGATCCGGCGTGTGAGCTACAAGGAGCCTCAGCAAGAGCTTTAGCTCTGAGCCTACGCAAGAGCTTCAACTCTGCTTGGGGGGGGTCGCCGGGGTGGCTCTGCCGGGGAAGGGGGGAAACGGGGGGGGTCCTCCATCTGGAATTTTCTTAATGATTTGCACATCCGGACCCCCTCCGGGGAACGGGGGGAGGGGACGGAAGGGGGCGGTCCCCATCTGGCGTTGTCTTCATGATTTGTGCATCCCCAAGATGTTTCGGGGGGTCCCAAGGACCGCCCTCAGATCTAGCCGCTACCGCCCCCATGACCACCCTCCCCTCGGAACCCTCCCCAGACCCCCCCCGGGACCGCTCCAGGCCCCCCCCCCAGAGGAGAAGAAAGAGGACCGCGGAATAATCGAGGAGGGAGGAGGCCACAGGGCCGCGAAGATCGCCGAATCCGGGGCCCCCCAGACCGGCGGCTCTGCCCGGAGGCCAATACAATGTATATATATATATATATATATATCAATACCAATATATATATATATATAATATATATTATATATATATATATATATATATATATATATATATATATATATATATATATATAGATATATGTTACTACATCTATACACAATGCTTGCGCTCAGGGGTTCTGAATTGTCTTCTGAAGTAGTTGCGGGCGATCTCTGTGCTTTCGGCCGGTGCCCGCTTGCGGGCGCCTCGTGGGCGCTCCACGTGGTGGTCGGCCGGCGCCCCGCCCGCGGGCGCCTTGGTGGCGCCCTGGGCACATCGCGCGCACCGCGCAGCCCAAACCACAGCTTGCACCGCACAGCCCGTGCCCCATCGCTTGCGCTGCGCGTCTCGCACCACAGCTCTGGCACCGCCCGGTCTGCACCGCACATAGGTTGCACCACACACAGAGCTTGCAGTGCATAGCTTGCGCCATGACCTGCACCACGCAGCTTGCACGCTGGCCACTCTAGTCATTTTTATACATGTATATATAGATAATTATGTGTGTATGTATGCATGTATGCATGTATACATCTATATGTATAAATATGCATACATATATAAACATATGTACATGTATATATGTATATATGTATACGTGTATAACGCATATGTTATATATGTATGTATATATACACACATATATATATGTTATATATATATATATATATATATATATATCCGCCACGGTGCCTTGAGCGAATAGTGGAGTGCCCCCAAGGCTTATGCAATTCTGAAACTTGGATGGGGGCTTGGTAAGTTCTTAGGGGCTCCGGCAACGAAATTCCTGTTTTGGGGGGTCGCTCCTGGGCGCTCTTCGGCTTTCTCGCGTGGGCCCCCAGGACTGTGACCCGCCCCTAAACGAGCCACCCAGGTTTTCCTGAGAAGAGCCCAAGGAGGTTCCAGCGCGCCCCGAGACGGCCTCAGCGGGTCCCGAAACTGCTGAGGATGCCTTCCAGACGGCCCAAGAGGCCCCAAAGAAGTCACAGGAGTGCTCCAAGAAGACCCCAATAGAGGGAGGGCCCCGAGACGCCCAACTCACGCCCTTCGGTTCTGAAGGATTTTAGCGGTCTCGCCCTGTCGGGGGAGGAGGAGGAGGAGGAGGAGGAGGAGGAGCTCAGCGTACAGAGGGATGATGATGATGATGATGATGATGATGATGATGAGGAGGAGGAGGAGGAGGAGGAGGAGGAGGAGGAGGAGGAGGAGGGGGAGGGGGAGAAGGCCGATCTCAGGCCCCAGGGGGCCCTGCCCTCCATCCCCAAGACGTCTCAAACCGCATCCAAGATGCCTCTGGACAGCCTCCCAAGAGGTCGCCACGGGCATCCAAGAGGCCCTTGACCTACAAGCCAAGGGCGGTGGAATGAAGCCCCAAGAGGCCCCCTGGAGGCCCAACTCAGGCTCCAGGAAGCCCCCAAGAAGAGGCCTCCGAGAGGTCCCCTTGGATCGGCCCCAACACACTCACAAACCGCTTCCAACACTTTTTTTTAATGCCTCCCGAGAAATCCCCACACGCATCTATGACGCCTCTGACCTACTACAATGCAAAATCGGTGGCGGGATGGGCCGGATGCCACTAGAGAGTACCATGGGCGCGCAGCCGTGAACCAATTTGCAAGACACCCTTGCGGCACACATACGGCCGCGCCCACGCGCGCGCAATATCGATGTTCTGCCCGTGCGCACTTGCGGAAGACGTTGGGACACCCTGCTGGACTTTCACAACCTCGTCCAGACTCCGCATCCCCACCTCCCCACGCGGTGCATCCGCGTTGATCTACCATGCACCCGACGCGCGAAGCCGCGTCAAATGATACCATGTCGGCCAAACGCGCGCGCCGCCACGCGCGCGCCCGAACCTGTCCCACGCCACTGGTGGGTGTTCGACGCGCTTCAAGATAGAGCTCTTCAAGCACGTGCGAACGCCTGCACGGTCTTCAAACGCCAATCTGTCTTGCTATTGAAATGCTACGCGCACGCACTTCCGCATCATCCTCGTCAGCGCCATCGCATCTTCGCCGTTAGCGTCATGGTCAATCGCCGCCATTGTCGCCATCATCAACACAACCACCTCATCACCGACATATGGGCATCATGATCGCCGTCGATTCCAACATCACCGCCGTTGTTGGCTTTGTCATCGTCATCGTCATCATCGCCACCACATTCGCTGAAATCATCGTCACCCGCCCGACTCACCGACCCGCAATGAAAAGCCCGCGCGCCAACGCGGCCTTTGACGCGGTGAGACGCTCCCACCGGTAATCGCTCGCCATCGTGGGCGCATCCGTTGTGCCAAACCAACTGGTCGATCTGCGCGCGACCGTGCGCGCGCCAGCGCGGCCGTAGAGATGCGCTAGCAAATGCCAATCAATAAACACAATCGTGGCCAAACGGGTTTTGTCAAACAAATTGCGGGTGGGAGGGTATGGTCCACGCGCTGGCCTCTCTCCGTGATCCGTTTTCTATACGCATCGCCTATGAAGCAAATCTTTTTCATCCTACCCGTTCGGTCCAAACGAATTTCCCCGTAGTGTCGCAACCACTTTGCAACTGCTCTCCCGATGTCGCTCTTTTGATATACCATTTCCCGCGCATCGAGCGCACATGCAAAATTCAATTGCCTGCCCTCTACACGATCATCTGCACTTTGATCCGCTCAACCCACCTTGCCAGCAAGGTCAACAATACAACGCCCAGCAACTATACGAACACCATAGCTCGAAACCAATACCTAACGTTAGATGGGCCACACGCTAACCACAGCCTGTCTGTAATTACGAATTTCCTTTCAACTTTGACCGCCCGCCGCTAGTTCCCGTATCATCCTAGTTATGTGCGTTCAACATTGCACTAACTGCCAGCCCTGCCGCACATGTCACGACGTTTAACAAACTCGAGAGAGCCAAATATCCTATTCAACTCATGCCTCCTTCAACTCGTACTGATTCGCCTTGCCGTGCCGTCAAGACACGGTGCGTGTGCGGCGGCCGTCGCCGAGACGAGGACGAGGAAAACGATCAGGGGGAGCATGCGCTAACGAGGCTAACGAGCGAGTCAGATACACAATCGGGCATAACGCAAGCACAAGTACGACCTGCACAACTGCACAGGAAAGGGCAGACACATTGCGCACTACATCGCAACTCGCTTATTGCCAAATGAGAACACATTGCGACACATATGGATCTGGAGCTTCGTGCATGACTGCTCGTATGCCTGGAGCGTCCGCGAAACATGTTCAGGCACTGTTCTTCGAAGGATTTGCTTTGGGGCCTCTCTGAAAATGCCTCGTGCAACAGCGCGCCCACTTCGAGTCGCCTCGTGCCTCCCAAGAGCGTGTGTGGGGAGGCTCTGGATGATCTCTGGAGTCGTAGGGGAGCCGTCTCGGGGCCCTCATTCGGGGACTCCCGAGGCCCTCAAGGGCCCTTTTTAGGGCACCCTTGCGAGCCTTCTGCGGGCGCTCCCGGGCCGACGTGTCGCTCTCCGGGGGCCGCCCTGAGCCCCCCGGGGGGGGGGCACCTCAGGACAAGCCAGTCTGGTCGGGATCCACGTTCCGTCAACCAATCGTTCGATGTATCGGGGACCTGACGGTTCCGGGGCAGCTGCTCCAACGTACAAACGAATCGTGCAGTCATGTGTGCACGCGCAGTATTGAACTGCTATCGCGCTCTCTACTGCCGTGCAAAGAACACGGACAGACCTCATGGCAGAACACGCGCGCCTGGATCAACAATCATATCGGCACGTTCTGATGCATGTCTGCGATGAAAAGACAGGCGGCCCGCATAAACACTGAGAGAGTGCTGGAGGAAAGGAGGGAGGGGGAAGAACATACGAACTAGTACGAAAACACGGCCAGTCTATGCTGAGCGGGGAAAGGAGTGGCGGATTGACAGGCCGACGATGAGTGCTGCAATGGTGGAAAGTAAAACAAGCGATTCGTATAAGCAACAACCATGGTATCAAAAGGATCCGCGGATGAGCCTTTGCTTCGGGTGGTGATGCCATAACCCTCCGCAGCTTCTTCGCGATTTCGCAGTCCCAGAACACCTGGATGCCTTCGGCAACTTTCGCTGAATATCTCTGCACTGGTCAGCATGCATGTGTGGGCACGAGCTTGGCTTTGGAATGTAGGCGCGGCTGGCTGGACCTTGGCACATGCACTTGGGACAACCAATGCTTACTCTGCGACGAGCCGCACGACGCTCTACAACCCGATGGCTAACACGTGTTCGCCCCGTGATTGTAACGCGTGATTGCCAGCGCGGATCGTAAGCATAACGTCGTTGCATTCTCGATGGACGGTCTTTGTGGTGCAGTCAGCGTATTGCGCAACCTGGGTGTTGCAATACACATGTTTGTTTAATATGTATGCGTACCTAGATAATTTATGCACGCGCCCATACTGAAACAATTGCGCGCGCTCCGCGAGAGAGTGCGCTCAAACTCTCGCTAGCTTGGACACCGACTGGGGCCTGTGCAAGTGCTTGTTGGCACATCCAAGAGCCCGTGGCCCACTTCTGGGGTAACTTTGGGCCCTCTGTGGGGTGTCCCCTCCTTATCCTCCTCAACCACTGTCTCATCTGTCACCAAAATCGCCTCAAACCGTCGGTGGGCCGTCATGGAACCTCTTGTGCGCATTCTGGGGGGTCCCTCTTCCGTCACCTCCTCCGCCGGAATCCCTGCGTGGGCCAGCGTGGAACTATTCGGACGCATGCTTGGAGCCGATTGGGTGCATGCTGGTTGGTCCGCTTTGGAGGTCGTCCGCCTGCGTGTTGGAACCTTCTTGGGAACATCCTGGCCTGTCCTGGAAATCTCTGTGACAACTTGGGCCGTGTCGGGGGCCTTTGGGGCGGTTTTGACGCTTTCCAGGGCCACCTGGGGCCCTCCTGAACTGTTTGGGGGCTTCCCTGCAGCGGCGGAAGGTCGCTCTGGGCCTACTTTGTGCTGTGTTGGGGCCCTCCCTGGAGCCTCTCCATGGGCCCTCTTGGGGTTTCTGCGCCCCTTTTGGGCTCTCTGGCGTCCCTCTTGGGGCTTGTAGGGCCGCCTGGGACCGTTGTCGAAAGGCTGTTGAGCCATCCTGTTAGCTAGGACGGCGAAGAAAGGCGAGTAGACAACTTGCTCTATAGGTGGAGGGGATGGGAAGTGGGTGTTCTTCTGGCGGTCTCCAAGTTCCGATGCTTGAGCTGCGAGCTCATTGCATGCCACATCTGTGGGAACCAGCCTCGGTATGCGTTCCTGGCGTCCGCTGCTTGAAATGCAACTCACAAGAAATATGTGAAGGAGGTGCAGTGCATCGGTTGTAACAGCCAAGCATGCTCGAACCCACCACAGTGCAGAGTTTGCGGGCGGTGCCGCGCACTCACTTATCGTGGCGGCGCAGCATCCAGCCGAGCAAAACGCATACAGCATGTATTTGTTACTAACAGCTGGCGTTGGCACACATCACCAGCCATGGGGCGCAGAACATACCTAATACTATCGTCAAACTGTTTTTGGAAGATTGCGCAGCACTAATCCATGCAACTATTAGTGTTCCGAGCCGTTACAGCTCAGCGAGTCCAGAATGCAACAGTTGATACCGTGGATGTAAACAATAAACGCGAAATTTATTCATAACATTGGATTTCGCCATTCAAAGGCCGCGAGTTCCAGGTAGGGCAAGATCGGCAGCTGCCCGCGAAAATGTAAACAATAAACGCGAAACACGGAAACACTTTTTTCAACTTGGGGCCGTTCATGCCTAGCTTGCGTTCCATATCTTTGAATGGCGGGATTCAATGTTACGGATGGGTTTCGCGTTAATTGTTTACATCCACGGTAGTACACACATTACACATGAGTGTGGTGTTAGCACGGCGCTTCTAACAGCCCCGAAGCCGACGCGGTCTTCCCAATCCAAGATCAGCTAGCCCTTGCACGCATCTAGGACCAAACAAATGTTTGCTCACCTATGCTTCGATGCGGCTCATAATGATACAATTTCTTGGGAGACAGGAGCGCCCAGCAGTATGCGGCCGCATCAATTGTGATGCCTGCAAGCCGCAACTCCGTGCCACACAAGTCAATTCATCAAACAACACCTCGGACGCATCGAGCACCATGCAGCATGCACCTGGTCGCATACTTGCGAACAGCCCGCGAAGCATTGCAAAATTACCCTTTCGGACGGCTCGAGCGTTCTCGCCAAGCACATATGAAAACACGATGAGATCCCAATCCGCAGCAGGTGGCACGGCACCGTTGGCGGCGTGATCTAAGGGCTGTGTCACATCGGCGGTTGCGAACCACACCTCGTCTGCGGCTTCCAGCAAATTCGATTCCCGCATTTCTGCGGTCAAGCCATCGACACAACTTTGCCAGCCAGGCTCCAAATCAAATATTGCCACCTGTAAGCGAATCTTGTCTTGCATGTTGAGTGTCTGGCGACAAACAGCAAGAGCCAATGCACACTCTCCTGGGCCACCACCAATCGAAGCGACCCGGAGGGAAGATCGACCGCCACTTAGCAAAGCACATGTGGCAGAACTTGAGAGGGCTGCTACACCAATGTAGCGACAACGGGTGGTGAAGGATTTGCTGACATAGCCAGAGCGAGCACCGCCATGCGCAAAACCAACGGTGGCATCATCGTGTATGGCTCCAGTCTTGACAGAATCTGTCAATTCCGCACTAAGTGCGGCGGCAGCCGCGATGTCAATTGGCCTGAGACGCCCCAGTAATGCTGGCAACACTTTAACAGTGGCCAAGGCACAGCTTTGTAAAAACAAACTCATAACATCATCCGCCTGCCTCGGATTGTCATCACCACTGAATCGTGGCCCATCGACGCGAAAAGCAACACTCAAAGGCGGTACGTTCGGGATGACAGACCAATCCGCCTTATGGCTGCAAACGCTGTAGCGCAGCTGGTTCAGGCGCAGGAACAAAACATAATGGTAATCTCCTGGGCAGCCACGACAGGACCATTTGTATGACCTGGGCCAAGTTCCGTCTGCTCGAAACTTACGAGATGTTTGCAAAAAGCGACCGCACGAAACACAATGAAAGTCAACCCTTACTGTGTTTGGGCTGGCGGCGCGAACACAAGCGGATGCTGTTGAAATCCTTACATGGAAGGAAACGAGGAGGGAGGGAAGGAGGAAGAGGGCGAAACGCTCGCTTAGGCGCCAACGTTGGTGCTGCACGCGCTGGCGAAGGTGCAGTGCCGGCAACTGAGCCACCAGATGCATATCGCAAACACCACGATACGACGCGACTCAATGTGTCCAGTTCCAGCTTGAGCTAAAACTGGCTTGAGCCAAACTGGCTTCGGAGAAAGGTATATAGCAACTCAGACGTATTCAACACTCTTTGACGATTTTGGGATTCTTGGCGGGCTGTCTGGGCTGCACCCTGTGGTCTTGGAAAGCTCTTGGGCCGTCATCAGACGTACTGGGTCATGTCGGGGCCCTCTTGGGTTGTCCTCCTTCCTCTTGGAGGAATCCTGGCCCGTCTTCGAGGTATCTTTGGCCGTCTTGGGACCATTTTGGGGCGTCCAAGGCGGGGCCCTGTTACCAACGGCTCCAGAAGAAACCGTGGGCCAAGGCGAAGTGGGCGAGTTTTTTTAATGATCGGCGCAACTGCAAATAGTCAATGCGCTCCCCCCCACAGTGCAGAGCCTAATATGCAGTCAGTGGCTGTTGCACCTCCATGTGCTCGTGTCTTCGGATGAAATGATCTAAGCAACATAACAACAATCAAGGTGACGATCTTCTTGGATACCCCCCTCTGCACCCAGCCCCCAGCTCACTCCATGCGCAGTGGCAGTCATGCGCGGCAGAGCAGCTGGGTATGAGAGGGGCAAGTGACAATGGGAATTCGTTACATGGGCGGCTCATATTCTACTGCACTTGCAACTCACCAGAATCACTACGACAAAAACTGGTATGGACAAGGAAGGCAGACGCTTGTTGAAACCCGGGTCAACATATCAACTGCCAACATGGGAATCATGAGTTGATGCCTGCTGCTGCTGCACCTCTGACAACTACTGGACGACAAGTCTGGCGGCAAGTGGTGAAACAAGCCATGCTAGCTACCACAATTCATGCGCAAACTTATACATTGGGGCTGGGCGGCTGGGGGAACACACGGCCCACCCGATACGTTACGTCCATACCAAAGCCACCACTCGTGAGCAGCATGCGTGCAGTCGTAGGATGGAGAGGTGATGTTAAGTGCGGCGCCGATTGCAAATACCAATCCCACCATCACGCTGTACAGATGCCACCTGTTGCCATATGGCGGCGCCCACGCAGAGGTGATTCCGTGCAAAGAGCGATGCGTATCAACGGTGAGAGCCGCCTGCCAGCTGAGGCAAGCTGGAATCCTCAACCTCAATACACTTCAAAACCAACAACGCCTGAACACAACATCCGACACTTGTACCCAGAGCTGAAAACAAATTGACATATGATGCTGGATGCTGCCTCCATCCTCGTATTCACGAATGTGCACTTGTTCTTTGCTAGAGCACAGCATCATGACACGACTTCTATCGTGATGGGTATGTATCCTGACCTCCGACACCTGTATGTCAAGCACCACGCTTGCACTGCGGTAGACGTGGTTCGGGACCCTTGTGGTCCGCGAGAACAGCTACAACTGCAGAGCAGAAACCACGAACATCTCTCTCTCTCTCTATATATATGGATACGCACACCTGTCTGGGTGTGTACGCTTTCTCCCAAACAAACGCCAATTCGCAACGTATCCAATGGCGCTGCTGCGAGTATCCGCTACCGTGTATGGGGAGGGGATGGAGGGGGCTTAAGGAATGGTCCACGAAACGCTATGGATTTTGTGGCTGGCTTAACTGTTCGTATGGCAAGCCAGGAACTCAAAGACTGAACACAGAACGTGGGCTCATTGGGCGTTTCGTCGGGGTCCCGAATCCCACCAGCCTGGGATAACGCTGATTTTCTTTCGTCTTTGAAAGCCGTTTCTTTCCCTATTCGGGGGACGTTGGGGGGGGGTGCTTCTCACTGTTCCTTGCGAATTCACACCCCTTCCCTCACGCGCCCAGCCCCGAACCCGCGTCAGTACGACCCTACGAACCCTGTCCCAAAACACCATACTTGCGGTGGGCTCTCGATGATGCTCGGGCCACCAGCGATCACTTTGTACGGTTTTGTTTGCCAATGGCGAGGGCGGTGTGCGCGTGCTGCCCCACAGGCGCAGGACCACCATCCCGTACAGAAAGCCCATGCAAAGGGCACGTTGCGGCAAGGTCTCGGACCGTGCGCGGGCGCCCCGCGATCTCTCAGCATCGTGCTTCGACAAGGGGGGATCGCGGAGCCCAGGCACGCGTGACGCACCCTGCGGGCGCCGCGTACCTGACTGGCGTCCGCGTCGATTCCCGATGGCTGTGGACGGCGGCCCCCGCCCATGCTGAGACTCGGCTGCTACTTCTGCGGTTGTGGGGTGGGTGGGGATGGGGGGGTGGGGTAGCTTGACCCCTCCTACTACCACCTCTCGCAAGGTTGGGGGATGCAACCCTGTGAAACTGCCGGATAAGACCTCCTGCAATTGAACCGTTCGAAGGAGGTCCGCATTAGCCTTTCCTCAGGGGGAGCCATCAATCGATGCGGACCTCCCGTAATTCCACGTCCAATCACAGGGGGTCAGCATGGGTTGCCACCCAGACCTAGGGAGAGGCTAATATGGAGCTTAATACAGCTCCAAGTGATCTCGGAGCCCACCGAGGAAGCCATTAGCAGCCACCATCGTCCCAACACCAGAAGGAAGTGAACGATTTGTGCCTTGTCGCCTGTTCGCCTCTGATGGGCCCATGCGGCCACAACCTGGCTCCCAAATGGTCCAAGAGGCTTCCAAGAGGCCCCCAAGAGGCATTTGTTCTGCTTCCGAGGGGGTGGGAATTGAGCCCTCCCCCTCTTTTTGAGCCATGTGTCCCAAGATACCCCCAATACGCTCCCAATACCTCGAATCAAAAGGTTTCAGGGCGGAAGGTATTGACGAGAATGTCCAGGATCACTCTCTGCTGGCCCTGCACGGCAGGTCAGGCAAGTAGGGGAATACTCCCTGAACGCTTTAGCGTTTAGTGTGACCATCCTCTGCTGAATAAAGGAGTGATTTTGCACTGAACATGCCGTGCTCTCTGACCGGTGCGACAACCAAGAGAAGCGGCGGAGCGGGCCAAATAATCTATCGTCATCTGCTTGCGGTACACCGCGATGAAACAATCCACGAACATGTATGCAAAAACACCTCGACCCTCCCCGACTCTCTACGGGTTACCTCTCACCTCTAGGCCTCATTTCTGACTGCATCCTCTTCGATGCAATCGTTTGACGACCCGCGCGATTCGCGCAGGTACACGGTGTCAAGAGAGATACAGGGAGAGACGAAAACTATAGAGGTATAAATACATGCATGTACGTATGTGTATATGTATGTATATACATATACATGTATATTTATATATATATATATATCCCAGCACTTCAAGCTATATACATATATATGAGAAGAGAGAGAGAGAGAGAGAGAGAGAGAGAGAAAGAGAGAGAGAGAGAGACATATGTAGAGAGAGAGAGGGAGAAAGCGAGAGAGAGAGAGAGAGAGAGAAAGAGAGAGAGAGAGAAAGAGCGAGAGAGACATAGAGAGATAAAGAGAAAGAGGGAGAGAGCTAGACAGAGAGAGAGAGAGAGAAAGAGCGAGAGAGAGAGAGAGAGAGAGATCATGAGAGACATAAAGAGAGAGGGAGAGAGGTATAACATCGAGAGAGAGAGAGAGAAAGAGAAACAAGAGAAAGAGAGAGGCCGTCGCCAAGCATGCCCACCAATGCTTCCTGCTGGAGCAAAGTCTTGGGGCCTGGAAAATCGCGGCCCGCCGCCGCAGAACCATGGGCGCCCACGGCAACAGCACAGGGGCCCCAGGGCACACAAATGAATACACACAGTCCCAGGATTCCCCATCCGTTTCGGCAGCTTCTCGGTCTTCGTCACATACACCCACGTCCCATATATGTTCAATTTCTTCGTGGGAGTCTCCGCTGCTCTGTGCCCGAGCGTGCCGAAAAAAACACCGCGAGACCGAAACGACCGGGGCGGCGCGCCGCCGCGGGCGGAAAGCTCCGGCGGCCGCGGCCTGAGCCGAGTCGTGGGCCCGACTGCCTCTGGGCACCCGCGCGCGCCTCGGGAGGCGCGCGTGCGTGCCTGTGCGTCTCCGAGAGGTCACCCGATCTTGCGCAGCACGCAGCGCGGTGCGCGACGCGCGGTTCTCCTCGCGCCCCGGCGCCGCCGCCCTGGAGGAGGGTGCCTCTCCAGCCCAGGCCGCGATGCGCGAAGCGCGATTCCCTGCACGCCACTGGAGCTGACCTAGATCTCCGGGCTCGAGCGGGGCTTGTGCCAGGGGACGTCTCTCAGCGATCACCCTGGCCCGTTCCCGATACCGCGTCTGGCTATGGCGACGAGGGCATTGGGCAGGAGTGACCTCTGGTGCGCGGCTTGAGGCGGCCGTGGGGGGCCAATTCAAAAGCGCAAGGCCGCCTCGGGGGTGGGGCCCTGCGGACTCGCACCAGGAGGACAACTCTGGCGAAGGACCACTCTCATTCTCGCGAACGTGTGGCAGAAGTCGGCCGAAATCCGCAGAGGCACCCACATGGACGGAGCGGAGGCCGCCGACGAGAATGGATACATCGGCAGGGCAAGGCAGAGCGGGGGGGGGAAGAATCCGTATCCTAGGGGCCACGAAGGCGACGATATCCTCCTTCAATAAAAACGGCATAAACATAGACTCTTGGCGCTCCGCGCGGATATCTTGGATCTGCGCTGGACCCCCATCCCTGGCGCGCGCGCCAGGGGCGGCGCCGGAGGCGCCGCCCGAGGGGCCCAGCGCGGATCCAAGAAATCCGCGCGGACCGTCGAAAATTGATGTTTATGGCGTTTTGTTTTTCTCTTATTGTTCTTCTTCGAGATGTCCTCCTTTGCCTCCCCAAGAGCGAGTGGAGACGACGGCAGCTCAGAACCGGTTCCCGAACCCCTCCCGGGTCCAAAACGCACCTGGCTTCTCGAGCTGCGTCCAACTCCCTGGCGCGGCGAGGCGCCTCCCGAAAGCCGACCGCCGCTGCCTCAGCTCGCCCTCGCCTCGTCGAGAGCCGAGAGGCCCCTGGCCATGATAACACGACGCAGACGCGGCCTCACCGAGGTCCCCGCCTTCGCACCAGGTCTGGTGCCTGTGCAGAAGAGACGCCTGCAGAAGAGACCCCTCATCCCTGATGTTCTGGCCCTCCTCGCTTAGGTTCCCTCCCAAAGGATCAGGAGCACTTTTACTGCTTATCCCGGATCCTCCTCCTCCTCCTCCTCCTTCCCTGTGGGCGCACCTGGGCTGCGCGCCCCTGGCGCCGCTGGCGCTGCGGGCGTTGGCCCGCGGCTCGGCCTCGCCGGCGCCCGGGTCCGGCGTCCTCGGTCGGGGGCGAGCTGGCGGGCCGACAGGTCGGGGCCCGGACCACGGGCGACGTGACTCTTCGCAACCGCGGCGCCTTCCTCTCACTTCGGCTTCTACAGGGTCCTCGTTCGAGAAAAAGGCTTCTAGCTTCGAGAGTCCTCGGGTTCACGTTGGGCCGCGGGGCGGGGCGGCAAAAAGGACCCAAGGGAAGTGGTCCAGACCTCTGGGGCCCACGCGTCGAGCAGAAGCGGAGCGGCCGGATGTCCGGGCCGCCACCACGAAGCCCCAGAGAAGCCTCTCAAGAGACCCCAGCGAGCCTTCCAGCAGGGCCTCTTGCCCACCACCCAGTCAGTCTGGCCGAGGGCCGCTGGACACTACATGATGCAATACGGGCCGGCTCCTCCTCCTCCTCCTCCTCCTCCTCCTCCTCCTCCTCCTCCGCCTCCGTGCAGACACCGTTCTTCCCCCCTCCTCCTCCTCCTCCTCCTCCTCCTCCTCCTCCTCCTCCTCCTCCTCCTCCTCCTCCTCCTCCTCCGTATCCTCCTCCACCTCCCCCCCTCCTCGCCCTCCACCGCCTCATCGTCCTCCTCCCCGCGCCACTCGCCCAAGAGAGGATAGGGGGCAAGGCAGGGGAGGAACACGACAACGCCGGGCGCTGCTCCGTCCAGGCCTCCGGGGGGCTGCTGGCCGCTCGCCCGGGGGCCGGCGGCACCCTCGAGGTTCCCGAGGGCGTCGCAGCTGCCGCTGCTCCCCAAACCTCTGCCGAAGTGCGCTCTGACCAGAGTTGCAAGGCGAAGCCAGCCGTGGGTGCGAGGGAGGGGTAGGGAAACGGTCAGCCCGTACGAGAAGGACGCACGAGGAGGGTGCAAGGGCCTTGGAAGGCCATGTCGGCACTCTGCGAGCGGGGCGCGGCCAGCGGAAGCGGCCGAGGATGGGCCGACGGGGAAGGACGCAAGGGTAAGCTTGGACAAAAAAACCTCATCCTGGATATGCGGGTTGACTGTATCCTCGGTCACCTCACTCCGCGCAGCGCACACCCGAGATGCCCGACGCGCGGCCATCTTCGCGCCCTGGCGCTGTCGCCCTGGAGAAGGGCGCCCCTCCAGTCCAAGCCGCGATGTGCGAAGCGCGATGCTCTTCGCGCCCCTGGGGTTGCCTCGGAGCATCGGCGTCTCCTCCTCCTCTGAGCAAATAGGGGGCCGTGCGCTCCTGGCACCGCATGCCAGGCCTGACGGCCAGGCTGCCAGCGCCGCTCGGCATCGCTGCGCGGCTACCCCCGGGGGGCAGCGCGGGGCGCGCCCGGCTGCGCGCCCGAGCGCGCATCTGGGGCTCACGGCTCGGCCAGCCGCGACGCGTGGGTCGAGAAGGCGCACGCGGCGGGTGGAGAAGAGAAGCAGCGCTCATGGGACGCACACTAGAACGATGCGTTCGCACTGGAGGTGCACGTCCGAACCGAGCATACAGCACAAACGTCTTATGATGTATCGTTGCCCAGTCGGTATGGCCAGAAGGCGCTCGCCACCGAGCATATACTGCAAGATGTATCAGCGCACGCGCGTCGCCCCTCGGGTGCAGACGTTCACACAATACAAGCATACTTGGGTAAAGCTGACCTCAGGGCGACCGAACGAGACCCGCAGGGGAGCGCTCCAAAACCCTCCGCACCCGTTGTGAAGCATCTGCGCAGTGGCCTATTGTTATGAGGTCGGCGCTGTTCGCAAGGGGCCAGAGCGCGGAGCACGAGGCTTCGGCCCCCCGCCCCGGGATCCCAGGACAAGCCGAAGCCAGCGCGCTCCTCCGAATCGCGGACCGCGGCACCCCGATTCCTCTGAGGTCGAGGTAGAGATGTCGGCAAGCGCCCGCCCAACGCTGAAGTGTCACGTCCCCCGTCCCTTGCCTGCGCAGCGCCTTTGCTGCTCACAGGTGCCCTCGATACACTCGCAACGCCACCAACCACTCTTGGGCTCGAGGGTGTGCCAGAGCGCTCCTCCCCAATACATAGATCTGGGGGCTGAGGGGTGAAGTCTCGAAGGCGGGCTACGCTGGGCATTTCCAGCCCCTCTGGGGTACCCAGTCTCGCCGAGACTGGCGCGCCCCAAACGACGTCCCTGGCATGTCCCACCGACGACGAAGCTCGCCCCGAGCTTCTGCCCGCGCCCGATAAAACATATGACTGGCCTCCACCTCCTGCCCAAGATCCGCAATAACACACGCCAGACCCGCCCCGTGAAGCCCAGTGAGGCCCCCTCGGCAGGAGGGCCCGTGACGCTGAGTAGGTGCGGTACTGAGATCCCCTCTGGGGTTGCTGAGGTGATAGGGCAATTCGAAGTGGATGCTAGGGTCCCTCATCTCTGTCCGAACCTGGCTCATGAGTGGGTTACACGTGCCACAAGCGGCGTCAGGGGTAAAAAGATCCAGGCTCAGTGGGCTCCGCCCGCTCAGCGAGATTGTCACCCCCCCCCTCAGCCGCTTATGGCCCTTGTCACTCACTTCTGAGCTTGGTGAGGCCAGATCTACCCTCCCCTCAACATCCACTTCTAATCGCCCTGCGGAGGCGGAGGAGGAGGAGGAGGAGGAGGCGGAGGCGGAGGCGGAGGCGGAGGAGGAGGAGGCGGAGGAGGCGGAGGAGGCGGAGGAGGAGGCGGAGGAGGAGGAGGAGGAGGAGGCGGAGGAGGCGGAGGAGGCGGCGGAGGAGGAGGGGCTCCCTCGGGAGGCGAGCCCATGACGGGGAGGAGGTGCGGCAGTGGGCAAGATCAGTCAGCATCGAAGCGGGACACCAGGTCGGGAGGAGCAGCGCGGGTCCAGGCATTCACCATTCTTCTTGCATGCCAGCCGGATTTGGCAATGCCCTGGTTCCAAGGGCTCCAGACGGAGGCAGGATCGGGACACGGTCGGATCGGGATGCGTCGGGTTTCTCTGAACTCTGGCGGTCATGAGGGACGTATCGGGCGCCGCGGCCGTTGCAGAGCGCTCCAGAACGCTCTGGAAAGATCTATCCCGATCCTGGACCCGATTTACCTTTCTTTCCCCCCCCACCTCTGGTTATCCACCCCCCCCCGTTGCCGCCCATCCGAGCGGAATGCTTCTGGAGGCATCCGTCCCGATCCTGGACCGATTGTCCTTGCCTGCCCAAAGGAACAAAACACTTCTGAGACCGCTCTGGAGCGAGATCTCCCGATCCGGGACCCGCGATTTGCCTCTCCTCACCCCTCGGGTTGTGCCCCCTCCCCAGTGGTCGCCCCTCCGAGCGCAAAGCCGACCCCACGCGGAGGTCTCCGGGAAGAGCTTGCGGCCTTCAAGCAACTGCGCTGCCATACTCAGGCCGGGCGTGTCAGCCTAGAGGCGGATGTGGGACGAACAGCAGCGCAAACATACACCAACAGATTCAAACATGATAAAAAAAACCCTCCGAGACTATTCTTTTTCATTTGTGAATATTCCCACTGAATATTCCCCCTGTAGACGGACAGGCCCGACTTAATTCAAGGGGCCCCAGGACACACAAAAAATTCACACAAATAAAACTATTCCCCATATTTTCCCATATTTTCTGGGTTTCTGTCTTCCCCCCCACTTCCCATATTTTCCCATATTTTCTGGGAAATCGAGGATTAATTGTGTCTGTGTGTTTCTTTTCCTCCTGATTAATCTTGTACCGCCCCCGCCCGCGACTTCTCCGGGCGCGCGCTGGGTCGCTGCCCCGTCCGGATCTCCCGTCGGGGCGAACCTGCTGCAGTCTTGGGTCGGACATGTCTGGAGGGGCCCTGGGACACACAGATAAATACACACAAAGAAAAAGATCCCCCATATTTTCCTATATTTTCTGGGTTTCTGCCTTCCCCCCCACTGCCCATATCTTCCCAGATTTTCCGGCGGAATCGACGATGCATTGTGTCTGTGTGCTTCTTCCCCTCCTGAATAATGTCCCCCTACAGGCGGATCTCGGACGAAAAATACAAAAACACGGTCGTCCCCAGACTACCTTTGACCTTTTTTGAATATCCCTGCTGCAGAAGGACGTGCCCGGCTGAATCCTGATGTCCGGCGGCGGCACGCCAAAGGGGGGAAGCTCTGCGTCCTCTCTGGCGCCCTCGCCGCTTCCCGGCGGATTTTTCCCAGCCCCGCGGTGCCTTCCCGCGCCTTACGCCTCGCGGCGGACGCTCCCGGGGGGGGGAGGCCCGGATCGTCCCGATCAACCGCCGGAGGCCCGAACTTACGGGGAAAACAAACCTACCTCGCTTTTGACCACCCTCGCTTCCGAGAGATACAAAACGATGCCAAACCACGGCCTGTGCTGGTCAGGCCGCTTGACGAGGAGGCGCGTGGTATGACTTGGTTTTGCCTGGAAGCGAAAGCGGGGCAGGTAATTCACGCTCTGAGAACTGGGAGCCGCAGATCAAGCTCGGCGGCGCCCCGAGGGAGGAAGTGAGAGGGGGCAGGCCTTGTCTAGACAGGCGCGCTCCACTGCTCGCAAGTGGCCTGGATCCCCCGCGGGGGATCTACGATACACTCTGTCAAAGCAGCCATGTGTGTGTTCGGACATTTGCGAGTACACCCTGCGAAATGCTTAAGAAATCATGGGTTAAGAAATTCATAGTCTCAGAAGTTGAATAAAAAACCCACAAATTCTATTCAAATCTTAGGATTTACATTGAAACATTAAGAATAAACGAGACTCTGGCCGAAAAATTAAGTTTTCTTGAGCATCGCCTGAGGTGTAGGCACTTTGCGAGCAGTGGAACGCGCTCGGCGATTCTCAGACGGCGGCGGAGCCTCTCCGAAGCCCTCCGGCCTCTCGAGGAGGCCTCGGAAAAAGCTTCGCAGACGGCTGGAGGCCTCCCGCGCCCTCTTGGGAAGGCTCGCCCGCTCTGTCGTCTCTCCTGGGGCGCGCGGCCGAGTGCGGGGAACTCGTCAGAGGTCCCCAGGGAGGCGCCCCACTCAGGCCCCCGACGTCATGATTTTTCGTGACGTCGCGTCGACCGTCATGGCATTCCTGTGTGCCTACCACGACAGGTTCTTAGAACCCCAGAGTGTTCGAATAACAACAACCGTATTCTTAGAGCAGGAAGCCGATGTGTTGAAACAAGTCCAATTCAGAAATGTTCTACAAACATTTCGTGCAGACCACAAAAGATGATTAGAACATATTCTGGTGGGCCTATAGGCAAGCCGGGACGCTTCGCCACTGCTTGAGGAAGGTCGCGAGCGACCATTTCCCCATTACCGGTTTTTCATCCTGAGTCCGAGTCGTGTTTCGACTGCCCCGAGGCCTGGCAGGGCCCCCCAGTGGCCGAAAATAGCGAGAAACTTCCCGTCGTGATTTTTATCATGACCCGAGGGGGTCTGGGTACACAGATGAGTAAAAACCATCTCGTGACACAAAATGCTGTTACTACCAAGAACAGCCGGCTAGACCCCGAACTTCCTTGGCCGGCGCAGTGCAGAGCGGTGCAACAGCAAGCGGTGCAAAACGGTTGGATGGTAACCGACCTCCACGGGGGCCTGCTTGCCCGCAGGCACGACGACTTCCTCGCCCGTACGAGCGCAAATCCAACTGATGCCAATGTTAAGGACGCGGTGAGGGGCGAACCATTCACGCAACGAAATTCATGGCAGACGCGCGTGATTACTATGAGCATTACGTCCAACACGCATGTTCCATGCTGTAACGTTCACGAGGGCCGCTCCAACGAGGTCAACAACCTCCGAGCTAGAACATTATATACTGGTAGTGGATGGGATCAGCACCAGGATTTCCAAGTGCGAAGAAACCGAATGCTGCGAATACAAGATACGACAACAGGGGGGCCACATGTAATGTGAACACAGCGTTAACCATTTTCAAGACTTTCGCATCACATAGAGCAACGTACGTTCACTCAGAAAGTCAATACAACATACTCAATATGGAAGACCAGAGCTCCAACTTGTGGTGTCTCCCTATAAAGGAGTGCGTCCGTCCTTGGGGCAAGAGAAAAAGCTCTCACCCTGCGGCTCTATCATTGACACCTGCGCGTTGATAGGGTAATGCGTACAGATGCGCAAATTGCAGAACCGATGTGCAACTGACATGAACACCGTCAACACGACTTAACGACATCTGTCCTTCCCCACCTGCTCTACAGTGATCGCGGCATCTCTTCTGCACCACGCGCAAGCCCTTAAGATGTACTGCCTCTTCTGTAAGAACAACACACGCAACATGATACCGTACATCGACAAAGCGTTGCACCTCTTCTGCATTACATTGGCACCTGTACTGCGTTGCTCCTCCCATTGCCTCCCCCCCCGATCTGAATATTGGGCGCATGGCGAAGAGTCTTTGGGCACCCCCACGGGCTCCCGACAACATGTTGCACCACCGAACTGTTTCGACTCGCCCAGACCAAGTCTGGTATTGAGATCGGTGGGTTGGGCGGGGTAGAACACGTATGCCAGATACCAAAGCGATGCGCGTTACTATCTGCGCCAAGTGGTACACCATTGTGTCGACGTACCGTGGCTGATGTTTTCGAGACGAGCTACAATGCACATAATAATCATCACACATCGAACAACATCATGTACCACACACGTGCTTGAATTCGTGCGCAAACGTACATGCCAGTTGTTCCGATGATCTTGCAGCGCTAATGACGCTGGGGCTGGCGACCACCAAACCATACAATGACTTGTCATGCTCCGACTGCCGACCACCGACAGACTAAGCCATCCCATGTACGCGCATGCTGCGCCATGCTGTGCACGTGTGGGCTCCAATGCAACGTATCTGTAACCACCGAAAGGGTATGACTTCCCTTTGGCAATTGATTAACCAGATGTTTTCGAATGGGCAGGCTGCGAACACAGGCGCCTGCGGGAGTAGCCTCCAATCGGAGTCTGTTGGGTTGTTGATGGTCACGCTGCCTGGGCGCACAATGTTAGACGGTGACCATGGTACGCACGTCTCAGTCTCGCCGTTGATGGTGCTATCGATAATAACAGCAACAACTGCTGCTACCGATCAATGCAATGACCTGGCCCGTCTCAGACATCTACACGCAAACGGGACACACAGCAGATCTCCACCCCTGGCTCACGACCTGTACCACATTCCTTGGCGGCAACCAGGATGGCAACATCTGCCCTGCGAGCCAATGAACCAACGTTCAAAGCGAAACCAAAAACTACGCAACCTGCCGTCTGTTGACGCAGCGCGCTGCAGCACGCGCCACCTCGTGGAGCTGCGCCCGCCATGCTCAAAGACGGGGAGAACCAGCAGGTGCGGCCTCAGAGCGCCTCTCTCTGAAAGCGAGCCGCGCGCAAGGCCGGTGCTCGCCAATGCTGCCAGCACTCAGGACACGCAGCGGCCAAGGGTATGACTGTAAGGGCGCCTGTCGTCCGAGCATCTCTGAAGGGGCCCTGGGACACACACACAGACACACACACACAGACACACACACACACAGATACACACACACAGACACACACACAGACACAGACACAGACACAGACACAGACACACACACACACACAGACACAGACACAGACACAGACACAGACACACACACATAGATAGACACAAAACACAGGACTCCCCATAGTTTCCCAAACATTCTGGGCTTCTGTCTTCTCCCCCACTTCTCCCATGTTTTCCCACGTTTTCCTGGGAGTCGACGGTTCATTGTGTCTGTGTGTTTCTTCCCTCCCGAATCTCGCGGAACTGTGTGACATGGGAACAACTGCTGTCTGTGTGCGCGGGCCGAGTTCCACGGCACTCAGAACCACGCTCAGAACGCAAACGTTCACGGCACCGCATGTGCAGTCTTGGAAACCCTCGCCAGTGTGTCCGCTGCTGGTCCTCCCCGAGCACTTACTCAAACATGCAGCTCTCGGGCGGAGATGCTGTGCGTCTTCGTCCGGACTTCTGTGCTGAACTCCAACGTCCTGGCAGGCAGACGCGTGAAATCCGAACTCGGAGGAACAATGATGGCAAGGACACTGAACGAATATCAAAACTAAGCAGATCATGCATGAAACATGTAGTTTGTCGTTTGTCAACCACTTCCGGTTCAACCTCCCGATCCGTACTCAAGCTCTCCTCCTGTGGCGCATTCGCCGAGAACGTCTTCAACTGACGAAGCACTTTTCCCCAAACAGTGCTGACACTTGGGGGACTCTTGAACAAACACCACACCCTCACAGGTCGGTACAATCACCGCCGAACGCTGTCGGCCGTCGCCAGGCCCGAACTTCTGGTATGCCCGTGGGCACCGGGCATACTTTTTTTCGGCGCCGTCGAATGTCGCCGCTTGGGGGTCCTTGGGCCAAATTGCCCGCGCAAGTCCCTACATTAAAGACTACGGCAACGTTGTCAGCATGGAACCTCAAGCCACGCATCGGCAGGCTGGCTCTCAAGGCAGCGCACGGTTGAATTTGGTGAGTGGTCTCAGGATACAGATTGATTTGGCTTTCTCCACACCTACAGTGTGACCAATGGGGAGGGATACGGAGCACAAAGGAGATAGAGCATGCGCGCATCACTAGTAACCACGCCTACAGGTCAAGCGCCGCATGTCTCACCTCAATGCTGCGGCGTACCCGGCTAGGCGCGAGCCAAGCAGCCGTGGCGACCACGAAGGTGGACTGCGCAGGAGAAGGGGGGCGGAAAAACCGACTGGGATGAGCTGGCCCGCAGGCGCTCCGCCCTGCACCCGCCGCTGAGGCCGAAGCCGAAGCTGAGGTGCACAGCAGCGTTGAGAGGGCCCACCCTGCACGCCTGCCAGCCAGCACATCGTCGAGCGGCGGAGGCGGAGGAGAACTGCGAGGCACGTGGGGACGGGCGGGGAGGAGAAGGAGCAGGAGGAGGCGGAGGAGGAGGAGCTGGAGGAGGAGGAGGAGTTGGAGGAGGAGGAGGAGGAGGAGGAGGAGGAGGCAATCAGAAGGAGGAGGGAGGAGGCAATCAGAACAGCTCATCTGCCTCGCGCAGGAGGAGGAGGAGGAGGAGGAGGAGGAGGAGGAGGAGGAGGAGGAGGAGGAGGAGGAGGAGGGAGAAGGCAATCAGAACAGCTCATCTGTCTCGCGCTGCACCTGGGCCGCCTCGCCGGGCTGCTCGGTGCCCCACCCGTCGGGGCGTGCGCCGGCGCCGCGGCCGAGGAGCGCCAGGCGGAGCTGGCGCTCGTCCGCCGCCCCGTTGGACAGGCTGCGGCGGAGCGGCGTGGGCGCCTCGATCGCCTCGAGGTCGGCGTGGGCCAACAGGGAAAGCACCGTGCGGCCCATCTGGATGGACATGCCCTGGCCTGGCTCAAGGAGTCGGGGTTTCTTCATGGCCACCAGCGTGCCGAACTTCGAGTTATTGTCCTCCAGCTGGAAGCGGCCCAGCTGAAACCGGATCATGGCATGGCAGCGGGAGATCGACACATCTGCGATACGCACGTCACTCTCGTGGCCTCGTCCCAGCTTCAGCACCTTCTCCGCCAACGAGATGACGTGCAGACCGCGGCAAGCATGCTGCTGAGAGTCGCGGACCATGTTCTCCAGCACAATAAATGGCGGCTGCGTCCAAGGCACCTCCACCAGCGGCATCGTCTCCGACGGATTTTCATGGTTCTGCATGTAAGTCGGGTAGACGGCCTTGCAAAGCTCGCACGGCAGAGGCCGGTAGAAGTAGGAGCCGCCCGATGAGTCCGAGAGGTTCAGGCGCCCTCGGATCCAATGCCGCAAGCAACCGAGGTGGACGTATTCGATGGAGCCCTTGCACTGGCATGGCGTAATCAAGGGATCGCCCTCACCTGGTCCTTCAAGTAAGCAGATGCGGCAGAGTGTTTGCGCAAGTTCTGTTTCTCCCTCTGGGTTCACAGAGCACACCGTGCCAGATTCGTCAAGCTTCAGCTCGGGCTGCGTATTGCCGGCGCCAACGAGCTGGCGCACGCGGAACTTGAAACGGCCGAGCTTGATGACGTCGCCCTCGTTCAGATGGTGGACGCTGCCAGGCATGTCCCGGACCACTAGCCAAAGCTTTTTGTTGCCCGAGTGATTGGCGCGGTCCACCCAAAACGCGCCGTCCCTTTGTGCCAACCTCAAGAGAGGGTCGCACGACGGGGCTAGCTGCAAGAGCGGGTCACTCATCATCTGGACGTCGGTACCGCTGCGCACGAAGATCGACTGCCTCAAGGCGGTGAAAGTCTTCCTGTGCAGGTCTGTGGCCTCGAAATCGAACAAGTCGTGCGAGTCGCGGGCCCACGTGTTCGACACAACCCGAACTGCTTGCGCTTGGGCTCGCGCCTGGTTCATGGTAATAGTGTGCCCAATCGTCTGCCAGAGAGGCAACTCCTTCAAGGCAGGCTGGGGATTATGAGTTCCGGGGGGTTGAAATCGGCCTCCTCGCCCAGAACCGGAGCCCAAATGGCCGAGGACTGGTTGCCCGCTCAGGGGAGGCAACTTGCAACACAGGAAAAGCCTGACTAGACCCAGCCACGCTCGAGCTCACACTCGAGTTCGACCTCAAGCCCAAACCAGCGCTGGCCTGGACACAAGCTCGAGCTCACTCCCAGACTCAAATCTGATCCAAAGTGGGCTCGATGCCCCCGCGGCACATACACGAGCTAAACCAAACTGGGCGACATGAAATTCAGCTCACGTCAACTAAGCCGGGCACACTTGCTGAGCTAAGCCAGAGTACTCTACACCCTGCGAAATGCTTAAGAAATCATGGGTTAAGAAATTCAGAGTCTCAGAACTTGAATAAAAACCCAACGTTTCCATTAACATCTTAAGAATTACATTGAAACGTTAAGAATAATCGAGACTCTGGCCGAAAACTTAAGTTTTCTTAAGCATCGCCTAAGGTGTATGCTCGGCCCAGCTGCACAAAGCTAATCCCAGGGCAACGCATCTCTGCATACCAAATAAAGCCCAGCTAGTGCTGGCCAGCGTGAGCCCCCCTTGTATTGAAATATTGCACTCTTGCTGTACAACCTTTGCGGGGCACTCTGTGCGGCACAAGCGGTGTTAGGTAATGCACGTTGTGCAAACTATGTGGTGCAGTCTCAGTGGCGCAAACTGCGTGGTGCAACCTTAGTGTTAGGTCGGGCATGCCCCCCTACAGGCGGATTGGGCGAAACATGAAAAGTAGCCAACCATATTCAAACATGGTCAAACAACTGCCAGAAAGATCGCCCCCAGACTGTGTTGGAACTACTTTAGAGTATTCCTCCTGTAGAGGGACACGCCCGACTTACCCTTAAAGGTGCAAACGATGCGGTGCAAGCCATGTGGCACAAACTATACCGACTGTGCGGTGCGAGCCGTGTACCTGCGGCCGAGGCGTCCACGGGCCGCGATACCGAGCACACCTCCCGGAGGAACCCCCTGCCAACGCACCGAGGCGCCCACCAAGCGCCCACGGAGAAAACCGAGAGGTATATACCGATACCGCTGCGGGGATGGCACTCGATGAGGAAACCTTCGATGAGGAATCCGGGGTCTGGAAGCCAGGGGAAAGCCAATGGTGGATTGGCCATGGACATCACCGCCGCCCTCATCAGAGAAGGAAACCTTCGATGAGGAATCCAGGGTCTGGAAGCCAGGGGAAAGCCAATCGTGGATTGGCCATGGACATCACCGCCGCCCTCATCAGAGAAGGAAACCTTCGATGAGGAATCCAGGGTCTGGAAGCCAGGGGAAAGCCAATCGTGGATTGGCCATGGACATCACCGCCGCCCTCATCAGATGAGGAACCGGAAGCCTCCTGGGCCTGTTCCTGACCGAACGCCGCCGCCGTGCTCCCCGGACCTCTCCCGGGTGCGTCCGGACCAGGCTTTCGAGGCGAATCCAGCGGTGGCGACGAGGAGGCCCCAAACAGGGGAAAACGGGCGGAGGGCAGCGGTAAGGGGTGCCCTTCCTCCGCCGAGGAGCTCCGGCCACGCTCGAGGCGCCCACAGGGCGTACACGGGCGGAGACTGCGCGAAGACCCGAGGAATCCAACTGGCGCGCGAGGCGCCCACACGGCGCGCACCTTCGGGCGGCGACGGGGCGACGGCCCGCTGGAACCCTGCAAGCATAACGTAAATTAGAGCCCCTTGGTGTAATCACCTTTCGGGGGGGAGTTCAGCGTCGACCAGCGTCGATTTAGCGTCGATTTGGCATCGACTAGCACCGATTCGCAAGAACCAGCAACATACTATGGGAGGCTCACAGGATGAGTTGCCGCAGAATGCTCGATGGAGCGGTCAGTGTTGAGCTCAGGTGAACTTGGCGGCGGGCGAGGGGGGGAAGTGAGAAGGAGAAGGCCTTCTGAGAAGGCGGCGGGATTTCTTGGACGCCCTCGCGCCTTCTGAGAAGCCTTCTCTGCGTCTTCGGGGGCGGCTTAGAAAACCTCTAAGAAGGCTGGGGGACTTCGGAGCCTTCTGAGAAGGCCTTCTCCTTCTCGCTTCCCCGCAGGGCTCGCCGACGAAAATTATAAACCCATTGGTGTAATCACTTGTTGGGGAAAGCTGAGCTCAGGTACACTCAACTGAAACTGAATCTGAAATCATAGATCTGCCACCGTGCCGCATGGCACGATCAGCGTGTATAACGCCCTCGCGTGCATTCTCTAAGCTTACCACGGTGACCCACCCTCGTCGCGTCGCGTCGTCATGGATCGCTCGCTACTGTGTCTTCCACAGCGTTTGGCCAAGACGCCTTCTAGACGATAGAGCAAACATCCGAAAACGGTCATCATAGGGCAATTCCGAATGCGCATGATGCCTCCGCAGGCGCATCAAGAGAGCGCAGGAGAGCACTAGCACACACACAACACCTGAGTAAACCTCCATGAAGCAATCTCCAATTTGTATGTTTTCTGAACGTTCACGAAAAGGCCAAACGCACTGAGAAACGTCTTGTAGTTCGCTGTATCCGGTTTAAGTCTTGTCCCTCCACCGAAGCAGCGACAACCCATCCCCCGATCCCCCGAACGCGCGCCCCCAAACGCTCCCAGAGGTGCCCCCAACGGCCCCGAGACTGCACGACCAGGCCAGGCGCATCCTGATATCTAGTGTGCGCTCGCTGTCTCCATGTGTAATTCGTGTACTTCCCACGAAGCAGCGACACTCCCCACCCCCGATCTCCCGAACACGCACCCCGAAACGCTCCCAGAGATGCCCCAACCGGCTCCGAGACAGCACGACGAGGCCAGGCGCATTCAGAAACCTGTTGTATTCCGCTGTCTCCAGTGTAATTCGCTTACTTCCCACGAAGCATCGACAAGCCCCACCCCAACATCCCCCCAACATGCGCCCCAAAGCGCTCCCAGAGATGCCCCCGAGACGGCCCAGCGTGGCCCTCCAAGGCCCGAGTACTTCCCCAGGGCGTCTCGACGCGCACCTCGCCAGGGAGCTTCTGCCGCGCGGAACCTCTGCGGGGCTCAGCGGGCGCGCGACTGCGATGGCGGGCCTTTCGCCGAAGAGGATGTGGAGGAATGGAAGGAGGGGGGGGAGTGGAAGGAGCAGGTGACCTGGAGTTCTTGACGCTTGGGGAACAGGTTTTGGGCGTCCTCGTGGGATCTTGGGGGGCGGGGGGGGGGTGAGGGATGGGGGAGGAAGAGGGGAGGAGGAGGAGGAGGAGGAGGAGGATGAGGAGGAGGAGGAGGAGGAGAAGGAGGAGGAGGAGGAGGAGAAGGAGGAGGAGGAGGAGAAGGAGGAGGAGGAAGAGCAGCAGCAGCAGCAGCAGCAGCAGCAGCAGGCAGCAGGAGGAGGAGGAGGAGGAGGAGGAGGAGGAGGAGGAGGAGGAGGAGGAGGAGGAGGAGGGGGGAGAAGACAATTCAGACGTGGACCTACTGGGAAACCTGGAGAGGGAAAATTCGGGTCCGCGGAGCTCCGTTCAGGACGCCTGCTTGAGTTGCGCCCCCCCCTGGGCCCAAAGAGGACAAGGAGGAGCCTGGAGCTTGAAGGAGACAAAAGCCACGAGACCGCGTCTCCAGGCACGTGTCCGGAAGTAAGCTCGAGGGAGGCATGGGGCGGATGGTGAGAGGGAAGGAGCAGGAGCAGGATGGGGCAGGAGGAGTGAGGATGAGGCGGGACGAGGTGGAAGCAGGACGAGGAGTACACCCCTGCTCAGAGGTAAGAACATTAGATGCTGAGAACATTGACTTCACTCCAAGCGTGCTCTTACACAGTAGTCCGAATTCAGGTATACGAAAACTCCACGAACAAAATGTGCTCCCACAGAACGCCCAGGGTCAGGTCAAGTTCAGACTGTTGATGTTCTGAAGCGAAGTTGGGAGCCATCAACATTGATGCTTGTGCCCTTGATTATTTCTGATGTGTCTAGGGTGAGGAGGAAGGATGATGAGGGAGCAAGGGGGCTCGGTCAGATCGGGAATTGAGGCGGTCCTCGTGCCGTGATTGGGGATTGGCCCACGCCCCGTGAACCAGGGGCAACGTAACTCCGATTCCGTGATGGGGGATTGGCCCATCGCGCGCGCGCTCGTGAAAACACGAGCGCGCGCGATGGTGCTCTCGGCGCGGCGCCCTCGCCGAGCCTCGGCGGCCCAAGAGCCCCCAGCGGCCTGCCATGCACGCCCAGGCCACGCGGGAGCAACGCAACGCGTCTCTTGTCTGCGGCCACAGCCTGGCGGCCTGCGACACGCTCGGGCTACGGTCAACCCATATCACAAGGATGCGTGATGAGGATGCAAGGGGCCGTGGAGGGACAAGCTGGCCGAGGGGCCAGGCCGAGCGAGGCTGGCCAGCGAAAGTCGCTAAGGATGGGCCGAAGAGGCAAGGATGCAAGGGTACCCTTGGGAAGATTGCCCGTCCTTGCCATGCGGGTCGACTGTACACGCTCGGGATGCGTGGTTCGATTTTTTTCTGAGCGGACCGAACTTTTCGGGCAGAACTCCGGTGCTGGGGGAGACGCATCGCCTGCGAAGGCGGGGGCAACGTCGCACCCACTGGCCTCGTGGTCCAATGCCGCCGATATGCCCCTTAGGGGCATATCGGCGGCGAGCCGGAGGGGAAGCGAGAAGGGGCGGGCCTCCTCAGAAGACTCGGAAGCCCTCCGGCCTTCTGACGAGTTTGCCAAGCCGCCCCCGAAGACGCAGGGAAGGCTTCTCAGACGGTGCGAGGTCCTCTGAGAAGCCCCGCCGCCTTCTGAGCAGGCCTCTCCCTCTCACTTCCCCCCGTCGCTTGCCGCCAGGTTCACCTGAGCTCAACACTGACCGTTCCATCGAGCATTCTGCGGCAACTCATCCTGTGAGCCTCCCATAGTATGTTGCTGGTTCTTGCGAATCGGTGCTAATCGATGCCAGATCGACGCTAAATCGACGCTGGTCGACGCTAAACTCCCCC